TCAATGGTAGATTGATGGGGATAGCATTGAATCTATAAATTACTTTGGGCACTATGGCCGTTTTCATGATATTTATTCTCTCTATCAATGAGCATGGAGTGGATTTCCAATTGTTTGTGTCCTTTCTTATTTCCTCAAGCAGTGCTTTGTAGTTCTCCTTGAAGAGGCCCTTCACATCCCTTCTAAGTTGTATTCCTGAGTATTTTATTCTCTTGGTAGCAATTGTGAATGGGAGTTCACTCATGATTTGGCTCTCTGTTTGTCTATTATTGGTGTATAGGAATGCTTGTGATTTTTGCACACTAATTTTGTATCCTGAGACTTTACTGAAATTTCTTATCAGCTTAAGGAAACTTTGAGCTGAGATGATGGGGTTTTTGAAATATACAATCATGTCATATGCAAACACAGAGAATTTGACTTCCTCTCTTCCTATTTGACTATCCTTTATTTATTTCTCTTTCCTGATTGCCCTGGACAGAACTTCCAATACTATGTTGAATAGGAGTGGTGAGAGAGGGCATCCTTGTCTTGTGCCAATTTTGAGAAGGAATACAGCCAGCTTTTGCCCATTCAGTATGATATTGGCTGTGGGTTTGTCATAAATAGCTCTTATTATTTTGAGATACATTCCATCAATATCCAGTTTACTGAGAGTTTTTAGCGTGAAGGGGTGTTGGATTTTATCAAAAGCCTTTTCTGCATCTATTGAGATAATCATGTGTCTTTTTTTGTCATTGTTTCTGTTTATATGATGGATTACATTTATTGATTTGTGTATGTTGAACCAGCCTTGCATCCCATAGATGAAGCCGACTTGACTGTAGTGGATAAGCTTTTTGATGTGCTGCTGGATTCAGTTTGCCAGTATTTTATTCAGGATTTTCACATCATTCTTCATCGGGGATATTGGCCTGAAATTTTCTTTTTTGTGTGTATGTCTATGCCAGGTTTTGGTATCAGGATGATGCTGGCTTCCTAATATGAGTTAGGGAGGAGTCCCTCTTTTTCTGTTGTTTGGAATAGTTTCAAAAGGAATGGTACCAGCTCTTCTTTGTACCTCTGGGAGAATTCGGCTGTGAATTTGTCTGGTTCTGGGCTTTTTTTGGTTGGCCTCAGTTTCAGAGCTTGTTATTGATCTATTCAGGGATTTGACTTCTTCCTTGTTTAGTCTTGGGGGGTATATGTGTCTAGAAATTTATTCATTTCTTCTAGATTTTCTGGTTTATTTGCATAGAAGTGTTTATAGTATTCTCCTATGGTAGTTTGTGTTTTGGTGAGATTAGCGGTGATATACTCTTTTTCATTCTTTATTGTGTCTGTTTGATTCTTCTCTTTTTTCTTCTTTATTAGTCCTGCTAGTGGTCTATCTATTTTGTTAATCTTTTAAAAACATCAGCTCCTGAATTCATTTATTATTTTTTTTGAAGGAATTTTTGTGTCTCTATCTCCTTCAGTTCTGTTCTGATCTTGGTTATTTCTTGTCTTCTGCTAGCTTTTGAATTTGTTTGCTCTTGCTTCTTTAGTTTTTTAATTGTGATGTTAAGGTGTGTCAATTTTAGATCTTTTCCACTTTCTCCTATGGGCCTTTAGTGCTATAAATTTTCCTCTAAACACTGCTTTAGCATGTACCAGAGATTCTGGTGCATTGTATCTTTGTTCTCATTAGTTTCAAAGAACTTATTGTCTCTGCCTTAACTTCATTATTTACCCAGTTGTCATTCAGGAGCATGTTCTTCAATTTCCATTTAGTTGTGTGGTTTTGAGTGAGTTTCTTAATCCTGAGTTCTCATTTGATTGCACTATGGTCTGAGAGACTGTTATGATTTTCATTTTTTTGCATTTGCTGAGGAATGTTTTACTTCCAATTATGTGGCCAATTTTAGAATAAGTGTAATTTAGTGCTGAGAGGAACATATATTTTGTTGATTTGGGGTGGAGAGTTCTGTAGATGTCTATTAGGTCCACTTGGTCTAGAGCTGAGATCAAGTCTTGAATATCCTTGTTAATTTTCTGTCTCATTGATCTGTCCAATATTGACAGTGGGGTGTTAAAGTCTCCCACTACTATCGTGTGGGAGTCTAAGTTTCTTTGTGGGTCTCTAAGAACTTCCTTTATGAATCTGGGTGCTCCTCTATTGGGTACATATATATTTAGGATAGTTAGTTTCTCTTGTTGCATTGATTCCTTCACCATTATTTAATGCCCTTCTTTGTCTTTTTTGATCTTTGTTGGTTTAAAGTCTGTTTTATCAGAGACTAGGATGGCAACCCTTGCTTTTTTTTGCTTTCCATTTGCTTGGTAAATATTCCTTCATCCTTTTGCTTTGAGCCTATATGTGTCTTTGCACCTGAGATGGGTCTCCTGAACACTGCACACCAATGGGTCTTGACACTTTATCCAATTTGTCAGTATGTGTCTTTAATTGGGGCATTTAACCTATTTACATTTAAGGTTAATATTGTTATATGTGAATTTGATCCTGTCATTATGATGCCAGCTGGTTATTTTGCCCATTAGTTGATGCAGTTTCTTCACAGTGTCAATGGTCTTTACAATTTGGTGTGTTTTTGAAGTGGTTGGCATCAGTTTTTCCTTTCCATATTAGTGCTTCCTTCAGGAGCTCTTGTAAGGCAGGCCTGGTGGTGACAAAATCTCTCAGCATTTGCTTGTCTGTAAGGGATTTTATTTCTCTTTTGCTTATGAAGATTAGTTTGGTTGGATATGAAATTCTGGGTTGAAAATTCTTTTCTTTAAGAATGTTGAATATTGGCCCCCACTCTCTTCTGGCTTGTAGCGTTTCTGCAGAGAGATCTGCTGTTAGTCTGATGGGTTTCCCTTTGTGAGTAACCTGACCTTTCTCTCTGGTTGTCCTTAATATTTTTTCCTTCATTTCAACCTTGGTGAATCTGATGATTGTGTTTCTTTTGGTTGCTCTTCTCAAGGAATATCATTGTGGTGTTCTCTGAATTTCCTGAATTCGAATGTTGGCCTGTCTTGCTAGATTGAAGAAGTTCTCCTGGATAATATTCTGAAGAGTGTTTTCCAACTTGGTTTCATTCTCCACATCACTTTTAGGTACACCAGCCAAATGTAGGTTTGGTCTTTTCACATACTCCCATATTTCTTGGAGGCTTTGTTTGTTCCTTTTCATTCTTTTTTCTCTAATCTTGTCTTCATGCTTTATTTCATTAAGTTGATCTTCGATCTCTGATATATTTTCTTCTGCTTGATGGATTTGACTATTGATACTTGTGTATGCTTCACGAAGTTCTTGTGCTGTATTTTTTCAGCTTCATTGGGTCATTTATATTCTCTAAACTGGTTATTTTAGTTAACAATTCCTCTAGCCTTTTTTTCAAGCTTCTTAGCTTATTTGCATTGGGTTAGAACATGCTCCTTTAGCTCAGAGAAGTTTGTTATTACCCACCTTCTGAAGCCTACTTCTGTCAATTCATCAAACTCATTCTTCTTCCAGTTTTGTTCCCTTGCTGATGAGCAGTTGTGATCCTTTGGAGGAGAAGAGGCATCCTGGTACTTGGAATTTTCAGCCTTTTTGTGCTGGTGTTTCCTCATTTTCATGGATTTATCCACCTTTGGTCTTCGATGTTGGTGACCTTTGGATAGGGTTTCTCGGTGGACATTCTTTTTGTTGATGCTGATGCTATTTCTTTCTGTTTGTTAGTTTTCTTTCTAATAGTCAGGCCCCTCTGCTGCTAGTCTGGTGGAGTTTACTGGAGGTTCACTCCAGACCCTGTTTGCCTGGGAATCACCAGTGGAGATTCAGTTGAAAATGTAGAAATCACCCACCTTCTGCATTGATCTCACTGGGAGCTGCAGACTGGAGCTATTCCTATTTGGCCATCTTGCAAGCCACCTATCTGTACCATGTTTTCTTTTTTCAATCTACCATTGATGGGCATTTGGGTTAATTCCATGTTTTTGCTATTGTAAATTATGCTGCAATGAACATAAGCATGCATATATATTTATAATAGAATGATTTATACTTCTCTGGGTGTATGCCCTGTGATAGGATTACTGGGTCAAATGGTATTTCTGCTTCCAGATCTTTCTGGAATTGCCACACTATCTTCCATGACAGTTGAACTAATTTATACTCCCACCGATAGTGTAAAGCATTCTTTTTTCTCTGCAACCTTGCCAGCATCTGTTATTTCCTGACTTATTAGTAATCATCATTCTGAGTGGCGTGAGATAGTATCTCATTGTGGTTTTGATCTGCATTTCTCTAATGATCAGTGATGTTGAGCTTTCTTTCATGTTTGTTGGCTGCATGAATGTTTTCTTTTGAGAAGTGTCTGTTCATGTCATTTGCCCATTTTTTTTAATGGGATTGTTTGTTTATTTCCTGTAAATTTGTTTAAGCTTAAGGAAACGATTCAAAGTGTTTGCAAGAACTGATGGATTTTGAATTAGTTATAACCTTTGAGGGAAAAAAAGAGAAAAAAATCTTAATGTCACTTAAGACAACTCACAACTCAATGAAGAAGCCAGAACACAGTGGCCAGCTTCGTAATTAAAATGCTCAGTCTGATTCAGGAAGGGAGAAACAAGATGGAAATGATTTTAATATCAGCCTGAGAAGTTCATTGAGAGGGGGACCCCAATCATCTCCTCCCAAAGATACCAGGACCCTAAACCAAAAGAGGAGAGAATCAAGTCCCAAGTTTGTGAATAGCAGCAGGTTCAAAGAGTTTCCCATTTTTGGAAAACTGAGAAATAACATCTGGGAGCAGAATAAGGGGAACCCAAATCAGGAGCTCCCATTTATCTTATTCCATTGGGCAGAAGCCAACAGTCACTCAGCATGAAAAGCCTAAAATTTAAGGCAGAAAAAGGAAAGTCACTTTTTCTGGGCTATGTCTAATTAACACTTGGAGCAACATGGCCATTTTGTTTTACTGCAATTTCTCGCTTAGGAAGACTTGAAAATAAAGATTAAATATGGGGTGTTCATGAGTGGTTATTCTCACCAGGATGTAACAGGAGAGGCCATCAATCCTCCTGCCCAAAGGAGCCAACTGGGGCCAACTAGAACATCTCTGCTGCCTCCTAAGGGAGTGAGTGTGTTTTCTGGAGCTGCTGCCTATGATTGCAGGGGAGAAAGATGATCTGAAGAGTCAGCTGTGAACTTATTGCTGCCCATTCTCCAAGGTAAATAACATTTTCCATTGTCTGATGTATCCTGACTGTTGACCCTGAAGCTCCCAAAACTAAACCTTGTAAGTAGACACTCACTTTCTTAAGGTTGTCTTTTTGTTGTTCTTGAGGTTTAAGGAAGGATTTCTTAAATTGTTGGAAAAGCTACTTGAAAAAAAAAAAAGGAAAGAAAAGAATGAAATCCTTAGCCTGCAGGTGATCAATTACCCTGGGTGAAAACCCATTTGAAAGTCCTCTCAAATAAGCTGTGGAGCTGGTTGGAATGCTTAAACAGACATGACAGCCCAACTTTCAGGTGAAAGATCTGCTTTGGCTCCTAGGATAAATAGCTGCATTAGCACCACAGGCAGAGAATAACACAATCTCTGCCTTGAATATGCTAAATGTCCTCATTATTCAAAAGGCATTCAACTGGCCAGGTGCTCTGTTTAAATGAAGAAATGTTGTGCAAGCCAGCTACACAAGAGTCAATGACAGGTGCTTCTTGGTTTAAGCACATTAGTTTTACAGAATGTCTAATTTTCAGATGTGATAAGGCATGGAACCATTTATAAGGCTTATTTGGACCAAATGATCTCGAAGACCTCTTCTACCCTTAGTATTAGCCCATGATTATTTGGACTTGAAGCTGTGTGTATCATGCATCAGAAAGTGGCCTCTACTGGTGAGGTATGATATTGCAGCCCAGCTCAAGTAGCCATGGTAATAAGAGCAAGCATGCTAAGGGAGTACTTCATATGATATCAAAATATTGGGTTGAGAATGAAAAGTAAAGGCCAAAATGGCTATGCTGAAACAATCCTTAAATGAGAGATATGCTAAGGTCTGTGGAGTTCTGAAAAGGTGTCAAAACATAAACAGCACATGTGACTCAACTTACCACAACTTCCCACACACCAGAGAGAGTAAATGCTGATACCTACACTTAAAATACCTTTGGTTCAGTATTTTTAGATGTGCACCATATCTAATTTTATAATGGAAAACAATGGAAAGTGATTCCTTTGGTTATATTCTTATACAACCAAATTAAAAATGTTTCTATTGCATGTGACAATCACACTGTGTCCTCTGAGCTTTAAAGCACATAGTTAGTTTCCAAAGAAAAAAGGCTAATCTGTTCAAGATACTTTAAAACTTTGAGTCAGAAGGATGAGGTTTGATGCACAGAAACAGCATATCAGAATTTGGAAGATCCTAGAAGGCCATCTCACCCAATTTCCTCATTGTAGAGGTGGAGAAACTGAGGGCCAGAGACGGGGGGTAATGTCCCAATGGCCTTTCAGTGAGAGGCTAACCTACTGATGAGTAGATTCAAAGCTTATTGCTACCAGCCCCTGGCTTCTTATAATTTAATAGCCCAACACCTGGATTTTCCAGCAAAGTTTCTATTTAAATGGACTGCCCTATAATTCCTTGAAAAGATAACTTTCTATTGGAAATTCCATAAGTTCTGCACCAGACTGTATTTCCTAGACTGTCTCTACACCCAAGAAGTGGAAATTGAGGTTATAGGAACATCACACCCTTCTAATCATATTAATCCAGGTAACCATGTCACCATGATGAGATGGAAAACTAGGCACACAAGAGCACTAGAAGGATAAGCCCATCCCAGCCCACTTTGAACCCTCTTGTAGTAGGAGGAGCAGCTACTGCCACCCAGCCCCCAGAATCTCTTCTAGGAGAGAACTTTGGTGCCCTTCAAGAGACAATTAGAGTCATCTTAAGGAAAGCAGAATTAGAGGGAATGAGCCTCCATGGACTCCAGGGCTTCTCCCCTCCCAACATCCCTTATGTTCCTCATAATGAATCCTTTCTTTAAACATTACACCCCTCAATTAGCTCATAATTGCTGTCCGTGCCATATGAATTATGCATTGTGCAATGCAAATTCAGGTTCCCTGGCACTGGACAAATCACAAGCTGTTGAAGAAGCTGGAGTAATTACCAAAACAGTCCCAGGAGCCCTGGGGAAAATGAACATTATCTGGTCGACAGCCCGTTCTTCTGCCTCCCCTTGTCTTCCCCACTTTCAGCCTGGTTCACCCCCACCTCACTCAGCTTCAGTACATAGTTGCTGGGTTTTGAGCAAGCACTGCATGGCAAGCAAGGTGCTAGCAGACATATGCCATGCTTTAACATTTATATTCTTCAGAGTCCTGTGAGGCAGGGGCTACAATTTCATATATCACATGACTTCACTTGAAATACCCTCTTCTCCTGGAATCTCTGAGTTTCACCAGGCTGGGGCTTGGGTAAGATTCACCTTTGTGGTATAAATGGAAAAGAGGGCTTGTTTCAGCCAGTGACAAATGTCAAGACGGATGGCTTAAAATTATAAAAAGAAGAACAAAGAGGGCACTTTGGAAGCACTCTATGTGTTAATTACAAAGCAAATTACATTTATTGAAACTACTTCTTGAAGACCTCTAAGGCAAGGTTAAGATATATATCCAAAAGCATTAAAATCACACTTCTTCCCATATATTCAGTTTCATGCATGCGGATTCTCAGCAGTCTAACCTCTCATACAATTCTCTCAAATCATTCAGTTAATGCTGTACGTACACACCATACACATGCGTGTGTAGTGATTATGTTGAGTTTAATGGTTATATCAACTTTAATGGTAAAATGAGGACATGTGTCCCTCCATAGTTCCTACCTTCCTTCCACTGCCATTTCTAGTTTCTAATTTGGAGAGTAACACATCACTGCAATTATGCTCATATCTAGGCTGTTTCAATAAGATATATCCAGATCTTTATATCCTAAGCATTTGCAGCAAAACAAATTGTTCTCTTTAGTTCATTCAGCTTAAGGAGGTAAATGTTTATCTCCAGCCACTATGAGTTTTTGAGATAAATGTTGAGACTTGTCTTCTTTGCCCTGGCCATCTTTCATGAAAATCATGCTGTGCTAACTGCTGCTTCAAACTTTTAATTATTTGCGAATTTTCTCATTAATGTATTCATCCTTTAAGTGTTTATTTAGGGCCTATTATGTGCCAACATACTGAGCTAGGAACTGGTGTTGCCAAAGGTAAATAAGGTGCACGTTGACTTCCTTCCTTCCTTCCTTCCTTCCTTCCTTCCTTCCTTCCTTCCTTCCTGCCTTCCTTCTTTCCTTCCTTCCTTCCTTCCTTCTTCTTTTTCTTTCTTTCTTTTCTTTCTTTCTTTTTCTTTCTCTCTTTCTCTCTCTCTCTTTCCTTCCTTTCTCCTGGAGTGCAGTGGGTGCAATCTTGGCTCACTGCAACCTTTGCCTCTTGGGTTCAAGTGATTGTCTTGCCTCACTCATCATCCTGAGCATCTGGGATTACAAGCACCAGCCACCATACCCAGCTAATTTTTGTATTTTTTAGTAGAGACAGGGTTTCACCATGTTAGCCAGGCTGGTCTCAAACTTCTGACCTCAGGTGATCCACCTGCCTCAGCCTCCTAAAGTGCTGGGATTACAGGCATGAGCCACCATGCCTGACTGTGATCTTGTTTCCAAGTAGCTCATTGTCTAGAGATTACAGAAGGCCATTTTAGCTTGAACCATTTACATGTGTTTAGGGTTCAGTAAAGTAAAGGACTCTGAAGTGGCAGGCTTAACTTCAAGTCCCAGAGGCATTACTAATTTTATAACTATAAGGCTCAGTTTCCTCATCTATAAAATGGGAGTAAGTAACTGTATAAATACAGGGTGTAATGAGCATTCTTTGCGTAGCATTTTAGAATCCTTTTATGCTTTCTGAATGTCATGCAATTTGAATTTTTACTTTAAAAAATGAACAAGCAGACACTGTTTTGAAATGAATACTGACACGAAATGGATCCTAGGAACTCCTTTTTCCTCCTGCTTTCTGTCCAAGGACAATTCATCTATCTTGTCTTATTCCCACTCTCTTCATCGGACAAAGGGTGAAATTGAGCAAGTGGCCTTTAAGGTAGCTTTGATATTGAAAAGTCAATGATTGTATTTGTAGGTAACAAATCATAAACCCCTCTGGTGGTCTTCCTATCAGCAGGAAATATGATTGGGGTCAGCGCAGCGGGGTGGGAGGAGGGTTATGATGGGTGGGCGTTGCCTAGAGGTTCATGAGTGATGTGTCCAAGAGAGGCGGCAAGAGAGAGAGCTGAGGCCAGGCGTCGAGAAACATAAGATCATGTATCAAACTTGACGGGTGAAACGGAGTTTAAATAGAAGATCAGCATCACAGTTGGTAGCACAGGAGCTCAAGAGATGGCTGTAGGGCCCAGGCAGATGAAGCCTGTTTCTTCTCATGGAAATTTGCTCATTCATTCACTCATCCAACAAATATTTCTTTAGTGCCTACTTAGCCAGTCCATGCTAAGTGTTTGGCAGGTAGCCTGAGCAAATAGGCATGGCCCTTGTCCTCAAGAGGCTGACAGTCTAGTGGGAGAATCAGACATTTACAAAGAACCACTTAGGGGTTGTATAATGATCAGTCCTGATGATCGCTCTCACAGACTATCCCAGGCTGTCCTAGATCTAGTCTGCTGTCAGGGAACCAGTTTGGGAGGAAGTGACATATAAGCTGTGATATAGAGGATGCACTGGAATTAACTAAGTCAAGTCAAGGGAACAACTTCCATAAATGACAGGTCCAGTGAGACTCTATTTTGGTGTTTCCAGCTTAGAGTGGAAAGGAGTGGACAAATTCCTTAAAAGGGCTGATCAAGCAGAAATATGACACATTTTGCTTTCAACAATAAATGGGCTTATATATAAATATACAGAGAGCATCAAAATTTTTACCGTATCAAAGTGTCCAAGACCTCTGGAGCAATGACCGTTTCTCGTGGAGGAAATCAGAGTTGATCCAAGTTCTTGCTTTTCATGAGTGCGCTCTCCCAGCATTTTAAGAGCAGCGGGTGAGTCGGTCTTCCAAACAGAAGCTAAACATGAGCCCTGGTTAGCCTTAAATGGACTCTCTCCCCATATCTCCTCTCCCTGCCCATGACCCTTCCTAAGGGACAGTTTCG